TTATTCAAATTTTTTTTATAAATATACCCGAAATTTCCAAAAATGTTCCAAAGAAAAATAATTCTAAAAAAAAACACTCTACGGAAAGTCCAAATGTAATTTTTTTTACTTTCCCTGATCAAATAAAAAATACTAAATTATAACATGTTCAAATTTTTTGTCGGCTGATTTGATCGTCACTATTGGGGTCTCTCACCCCTCATCAGCTTTTCAACATTCATCATTAATCTAAAATCCAATAAAAAATGAGAACATAAACCTGTGTTGCCACCAAGCGTCCACGATAAAAATCCTTGTGAATTCCAATCCAAACCAATCTGTACAAAAAAAAAAAATTTGTTGTTGAAAGTAATTTCCATTTAATTTTTCGATCGATCCTAGGGCAGCTATATGATATAGTGGTCCGATTTCTTAAAAATTTAATTCAAAATTCATTAATCGAGCACCCTTGGAGGCTGACGTCGCATTGAACCAACTGGCTGAAGTTCAAAAAGTACGTAAGTTCCCACATTGAACTGACTCCTCAGCTCAACATCAAAAAGAACATCGACTGCTATGCCGATGCACTGGAGTCTGCACTCTACACCGCAACGGAGGGATGGGCGCACACACCAACACAAAACTAACTTGGAAATCGAACAGCTTGTTTTGGAGAAAAGACGTTTGAGGCGTGCTTGGCAAACCAGCAGATCGCCATCCTCGAAACAACGTCTTAAGGAAGCTGGTCGCGGACTTACCAGGGCCCTAAGGCACGAAGAAGTAGAAGCACAACGCCAGTACATTGAAAAACTTTCACCCAGCCGCACCAAGCATCCCCTGTCGAGGGCCCACCCAAATCGAAACAGTAATTCCCATAAGAGACTCTTCAGGCAACTGGGCCAGAAGCGACAAAGACAGAGCTTGTACATTTGCTTTACACCTTCGAAATGTCTTTCAGCCAAACCCTGCAACAAATTCACTCGCACTACCGTCGCCGCCAATTCGAATCGAAACTCAGACGGACCCAATTCAGTTTCAACCAAACGAAGTTGCAAAAGTCTTTAGCGAGCAATTAACACCAAAAAAGACCCCAGACGAAAACTGCGAAAATGCTAATTGAACTCCCAAACTGTGCAGTTGAGGTCATTTGTAAACTCTTTAACGGGATTACACGACTTGGCTACTTCCCAAAAAAAAGGAAAAAATCGGCAATCATAATGATCCCAAAGCCAGGAAAAGATCACACAATACCAGCTTCATACAGACCGATAAGTTTACTCTCGTCTCTGTCAAAACTGCTCGAAAAATGCCTTTTGACGCGCATAATCCCATATCTGAAAGAGCACATCAATTTGCCTTTCGAGAAAGCCATGGAATAATAGAGCAAGTCAACAGATTAACAACGGAAATACGGTCTGCATTCGAATATCGGGAATACTGCAGTGCGGTATTCCTTGATGTTGCACAGGCTTTCGATCGAGTCTGGCTTGATGGCCTTATGCACAAAATCAGAACTATTCTGCCGGAAAACACTCACATGATACTTGAATCGTACCTTTACAACAGAGAATTCGCCGTGAGATGCAACACTACAACATCAGACGATTACACTATAGAGGCTGGAGTTCCCCAAGGTAGCGCCCTTGGTCCAACTCTATTTCTCCTTTACACCGCAGATATTCCCACGAACGTCCGGCTAACTACTTCCACATTCGCAGACGATACCGCGATCATAAGTCGGTCCAAATGTCCAATTCAGGCAACAGCACTACACTCAAAAAATTATTTTTTTTTAAATATAGAAAAACAAATTTTTTTGGGCTTTAAAAAAAAATTCTATATAGAGGAAAAAAATTTTTAATCTTCAGAAAAAATTTTTTATTTTAATTAATTAATTATAATTTTCAGAAAAAATCTTTATTGAACGAGTTTTTTAGAAAATTTTTTCTCAAATACAGAAAAATACATTTTTTCTGGTCCGAGGAGACATTGCTCCTAATTTAATTTAATTTAGAAAAACAAAGACTGAACTTTTCTAAAAATACAAAAAAATTGCCATTAAAATTATATATAATTATTTCTACATAATAGAAATATTGTTTTTCTAAAAACAGAAAAAATATTTGAAAATTTTTCTAAATTTAGAAAAAAATGTGTGATTTTCACTTGCGGCTGTAAGTGTGAGTTCAATCCCACGTCGAGACGAAAAACTCACGGTGTCTTTTTGTTTTTTTTTAACATTAATATTTACATATTTATAAAAAAAATGTATTTCATTTTTTTTAGCTCATGAATAATTATAGGGGAGTGTAGGGTAAGGTGACGAACGATTCGTTTTTTGAATGTAACTTTTCTAAAAATCAATATTTTTCAAAAGTGTAAACGCAGAAAGGTGCTTACATCTACTGAGCATATCCCTGTAAAATTCGAAATTCGAAATTCCAATGCAGCTAAATCCCACAGCGTTTGGCGAGAACCCTTCTTTTTTTGCACTTTCAAAAGTTGTAGGGTAATGTGACGAACGATTTGTTCTTTAATGTAACTTCTCCAAAAATCAATATTTTTTAAAAGTGTAAAAGCAGAAAGTTACTTACATTTACTAAGCATATTTCTAAAAAAATTTGGATTCGAGATTTCAACGTAGCCAAATCCCACAGCGTTTGGTGTAAACCATCCTTTTTACAAACAAAAAAATACATTTTTTTATATATTATTTACGTAAAGGTTATTTTCGATGCGGAAAAGAAAGAAGTAATAAGATAATACCCAAACTTACAAAAAAAAAAATGGTCAAAGTGTAAATTTTTTAAAAATTAAATTAAACTGACGTCACTATTAAAAACAACAATAAAACTGCAGCAGTAAATGTTATCTGGTATTATTATATCAAATAAAAACACCTCTTAACGAGGTAAAAAACTAGTGACGATCGCGCCTTCAACATACAAAAGTTCTGATATCAACATTTGTGACGAAAAATTATTACACTCGTCATTAAACAGACTTTCTAATATTTTCTCATTTTTCATACTTTCCGAAATTTAGCTATTTATAGCTGTTTTCCCGCTAAACTAGCGAGTTTTTCCAAAAGTGGTAGAACAAAAGTTTTTTATATTGATGTGATGAACGTCATATCAAATTTTCAAAACTTAAAAAACATGTTTTGGACAAACTGACAAACAGAATTAAATTTTCATTTTGGGAAGACGAAGAAAATCTTATTTTGGCTATAACTTTTGAACGGAGCGTCGGATTTTGACACATGACCCCTTATTCGACGGGTATTTTCAACGGGAATACAACTAAAACATTGCGAGGGGGCATTTATTCCCACCGGCCCCAACAGCTTCAAATTTCGAAAATTTCACTTTTTCACTTTCACCGCTCTCTCTCCCAAGCCAATTGATTTTCTTAAAGTCTTGGTATGCAATCCTGTTAGTTTTCGCAATACCTTTCGATAAGTGTATCATTCATTATGATAAGACCATCACAGTAGATTTTCATTTTTTCGTGTATATATAGTAGTCGCCTCCGCACACTCTCCTGGTGCGCTTCGTCACTACATGGACTGCCGTCCATAGTGATTTTTTTTACAAATAATCAACGATAACAGTTAAAATTCTTGAAGTAAAAAAGTTCGTCACAATACCCTACGAAAAGTTCGTCACGATACCCTACAAGGTAGACTTGGAGCAAAATCGGTGTCACTCTCAAACGGCGCAAAAGAAAAAAACGCGAGGTACCAAAAACTGTTGATAAAGATCTCATGTATACGTGCATATATTTGCCTGATTTTATTTTCCACTCATCTTTGCTCTGGCACTGCTGAAACGCAAGTAAATTGAATGGGTTTGCTAGTTTGCGCACCACATTTTTAGCGAAAATTACCTCACGAACAAATTACGGGACTTCTTATTAATATTACTGTAAATACATTGTCGACACGATAAGAGGAGACGACTACATTTATTTGGAATTTTTGTCGTGACGTCATATGTGAGATTCGACGAGTTCGTCACATTACCCTACTCGTCAAATTACCCTACACTCCCCTATTATATTTTGATAAAAATGATGTTTAAGTTTTTCAAATTTGAAACATTTAATTACTGTTACTATTAAACCATAATAAACTTATAAATATTAATATTAATCAATAAATATTTAAAAGAAAAATTAAATGAACAACTAAAGGGAATAACTAACTAGGCTAGGTCGACTCGTCTAGTGATGCTGATCAAGAATACATATATATACTTTATGGGGTCGAAAACGTCTCCTTCACGGCGTTGCAAGCAATCATAATACCCTCTGCAAATATATTAAATTTTCAAATTTTTTTAACCTTTCGTCCAATGAAATCTATATGATCGGCATTCGCTTTTAACGTAATAATGGTATTCAAAAAAGAAGAAATGGAAAGATCAATGTCAATATTTTTAATACTGCACGAAATATCTTTGAAAAACACCACATTTTGTCCTATTTCACCGCATTTTTTTTATATTAGCTACATAAAATAGACGTCTGATCGGACCGCGCTTTTACCCTGATTTATGCATACGCATAAAAAAAATGATTTGGAAATAATTGTTCCTATGGAGCTTAGGATATAGACGTTCGATCTGCGTACACTTGATTTAGGCCGACTGTGAAAGTTTCAGAACGATAGCTTTTAAACTGAGCTCGCAAAAGGCATTGAAACAGGCAGACAGACGGACAGAAGGGAAGGACAGAAATGGCTATATCGATTCCCTTATTGATCCTGATCAAGAATATATATACTTTATGATGTCGGATATGTGTACTTCACTTCGTTACAAACTTTTGACCAAAATTATAATATACTCTGCAAGGGTATAACAACAGATACTGAGCTATTTCGAAAGGATCACACAAAAATTTCCCCAATAAAAGTCTATTGAGACTAGGGACGTCAAAGCCGCGTCGTCCTTTTTGTTGCAGCCAACCCTTCATGACTCTGAAATCATAGTCAACTGTCAATAAGAACATTATAGGTATGTTTTTTTTACTAAAGCAACAAATATATTTATTGTATTGTCATACAGTTCTTTAGGGTTAAGCCAACCAAATAAATCACTCAACGTTTTTTTTGTCATTGTCCTTTACAATTTCAGGGTATTCCAATTTAACACCAGGATCACATGTGAAGATAGGGCAGCAATAAGGAAACGAAGCGGTTTTATTTGTCTTTTCAGTGTCCAATTTACATTTGTCGTTCGCGAGTGGCAATGGGCCGCAGTCTTCAACGAGTTCCAAAAGCCTAAAAATAGGTTAACGATATTACATATATTTTGTTTAATGCATCGTCTAGAGATAAATAAAATATTACTTGGCTTCATTTTCCTCATTTTGTACGCATGTAGATCGCCCGCAGAAAGGAGTCAAGTCCCAGGACTTTCCTGGCTCAACAGTAGCGCAACGAGTGGAAGCAAAGCACATCGCCGGAAAATCTAAAAATTGAAAACTCATTCAATTAATTTTTTTTAAATACGTATTTATTATAATATATATATTAATTTATATTTATGTATAATTGCAAGTAGCCATTTACGGTGTTGACCGTTGGCAAAATAAATAAATTAATAATGTAACTCGGTCGACAAAAGCTAATAATTGTCTTTTCCTTTTCAAACAGCCCACCTTTACTGGTAAATCACTGAGTCCAAAAAAAACAACAAAGAACGCTTTAGTCGAGGACCTCGACTATCAGATGCCCGTTACTAAACAAAGGGAGTGGAAGGGAAATGAAATTATGCAAGCAGTGAATTCCATTTCATTATTTGCTCATAACTTTTTAAGGGGTTATATACCTTTTTAGCGAAAAAATTGAGAGAACTTTGGATTTTTTTTCAGGTGTGTAGCAATTATTTTATGACACTGAAGTTATTTTTTATTGATAGTACATGTTTTTATCGAAACAACAAGCGTTTGTTCTTGAAAAAATATGAATAATTTACGAAGTTATGGCAATTCTCTCGGAACCCTTTTTTTGTATAGCAGCTTGCGGTGACCACGATGGAAGTCCAGCAGGTCAATTGAAATCAAAAAACCAAAAAAATTTTATTAGTATAGTATTGTTTCCAGTTCGTGAACGATTATTTTCAAGAATATTTGGTTTTTTCTGCATACAGTAACAATTTTGATTTTTCGAGTTCTAAAAATTTTATTAAAAAATTCTGATCTGCGAAATCAAAATTGGCGCATAAAAACTGAATCATTCACGAACTCGGCACAATCATTACAAATAAATTTAAAAAAAAAATAGAATAAGATCGATCAAATAGTTCTTGCGCAAACGTGGTCACAGCGAAGGCACTTTTGGAAAAACCCGACTTTGAGATAATCGCATTCAAAGTTTTACGTTGAGTATATGCAACTATAGAAGTCGAGCAGACAAAACGCCGTTTTCCTATCGAACGACTATTCGGATCTTTATAAAAATTTGGGAGAATGTTCTCTAAGGGATATACTTTTTTGAAAAAAGAAAAGGTATATAACCCCTTAATGAATGGCCCGATTAAAAAATTTATACAACCAAATGGCATTTACTCTATTACCAAATCTGTAGAGATGTGGACGCCGGGCTTTTTTTTTTTGTTTTAGGTATTTTAAGGCGATTGTGGTCGATAGAGTGGGCGTGGCTCTCGGCTGAAACAAACTTCCGCTAAAACATATATGGTAAATCACAACTTTCTAGCTTTTGTAGTTTTCGAGATCTCAGCTTTCACATATGATGAATCATTTATAGTTACCGATAGCTTAAAAGGAAATCTAGCAAATTTTTTTTTTTAAGTTTCTAAAAACGACATAAAAAAAGGGATTTGTAAGTTAAAACACATAAAAGTAAAAGTAAAATGAATACCAAACGTATTCCAAACTTTTGAAGACTATTATTTATTTAAATTTAACCAATTAAGTTGTGTTCCGTCCATTTTTAAAGAACTTAGACTATATTACAATTAAAACCAATAGGCACTTTAAAAGATCGGATTTTTCTTAATAAAAAAAATTTGTACTGGGCAGAAAGCTACTTTTGTAGCGCTGAAGGTTCCCAAAAATAAAATACTTCCTGTGTTTGAAAAAAATAGGAAAAAAAACTTTTTTGGTGAATGGTACACGACTCTCTTAGCTTAAATCTGGCTAGAGCCTTGCTCATAATATTTTTCCACGAGTACAAGCATTCGCAAAAAAAAAATAAAATCGTTTCTATTATTTCTTCCATTACTGTGAGCGTAAGCAAGCACTTAGGAGAAACTCGACCTTGGGTTTAAAATCTGGAATAGATCACGAATAGTTTAAAGCTTTTTAAATAAAATCAACGTGTCCAATTTAAGCTACATTCTTTTTTGCTTTAATTAAATAAAATCGTAACCTGTAGAAACACTTTAAAAATTATTCCATATATGTATCTTATCGTATGTTGTACACATCTAAAATTCAATTTATAATTACTTATAGGTACTAAATTAAAAATTTATATATATACGTACCTCTCAAAACATCAGCAGGAATAAGACGTTTGAAAATTCGTATTTCACCAACATTGGTAGCTTCATCCTTCGTAATTATTTGTTCAGCCTCAATATAAAAAGGAGCTATTATAGTTGTTAAAATGAGGGGCAAAATAGCAAAATGAAAATGAAATCCCATTTTAAAGCAGTGTTGCAACCTTTTTAAATTATCATACAAATTTTTTAAAAACCTTCGTCTCGAGGTTTTAATAAAGGTAATGAACACAGTTGGAATCAACCAGTCTGCATGTAGCGAAAGTTCACAATTAATGAAAACCACTGACCAGACAAACCTATACTTATGGAGAGTTTATACATATATGCAGCCGCTACCTGAATCGAAGCTTTTGTGCTGGATTGACTACGGCTTTGAAAGTTGTTACACTACAAATAAAAAAACAGAGACAAGCTTTGTGCTTTGGCCCGGTTTTCATCAGCTTAGACTTATAGTGACATATCAACTACCATACATACATACATACATATGTACATACATACTATATTGAAGAATTGTATACATATATGTTTGCTTATTAACTTCCAATAAATACTTACTTTTCAACTCTTAATACATTTACATCATATATAATATTATGGCTTAATGGTCCGTAGCACTTTCCCACTGATCTAAAGAAAATGGAGAAGATAAGAAACTATGAGTGTGTATATGTATATTACGTATTAGAGCCCTGCATTTATCAACAGTATGCTTAAATACAGCCTACTGAGATTTGTACAAGTTTTAATCAACAATTTAACTGGTTTTTATCAGGTTTAGATTACACAGGAACACAAAATTAAACTTTGTGAAATTTCCACGAACCATTTCAAGTTTTCCATGATATTTGGGTGCTCCTGAGTAAAAGTCCCATACAAAATTATTTTCCATCACCTACAGGTTCCGCGGTATAGCTAAGAATACAAAAAACCGATGTTTGCCGACATTTTGAATTACGTGGCCTATATAATTGGACCAACCTTTATTATTTTCGGTAGGACCTACTCTCAATACATTAAGGCATTCCTAAAAAATATTCCCCATTGTGAACCATTGCCCATGTCTTTGGAATTCGACGCCAAAGTTGAAAATCCCAAAATTGTAGAGCTTTTTCTGATGGAAAAACAATTCTGAGGATTAAATCTTGAATGGAAGTAATTTTAACTATTCATTGTATCTATTGTTCATTGTATGCTTTAATTTCGGTTTAAAGCGTTTCCATGAGAACATTTTATTGGATTTCTTATACTAATAAAACCGATTTTTTTATTTCATTATCTACTCCTAAATGTTGTCAAATTTTGAATAAGTCATGGCAACCTCTAGAACTAAGAAACTAAAATACGTTCACTGAACATACACAGAGAAATGTAAATGTTTACTCCCATTCTGTAGGATGCCTTGACTTTTTTAAAATTTGACAACATTTAGGAGTAGATAATGAAATAAAAAAAACGGTTTTATTAGTATAATAAATCCAATAAAAAATATTCTCATGAAATCGCTTTAAACCGAAATTAAAGCATACAATGAACAATAGATACAATGAATAGTTAAAATTACTTCCATTCAAGATTTAATCCTCAGAATTGTTTTTCCATCAGAAAAAGCTCTACAATTTTGGGATTTTCAACTTTGGCGTCGAATTCCAAAGACATGGGCAATGGTTCACAATGGGGAATATTTTTTAGGAATGCCTTAATGTATTGAGAGTAGGTCCTACCGAAAATAATAAAGGTTGGTCCAATTATATAGGCCACGTAATTCAAAATGTCGGCAAACATCGGTTTTTTGTATTCTTAGCTATACCGCGGAACCTGTAGGTGATGGAAAATAATTTTGTATGGGACTTTTACTCAGGAGCACCCAAATATCATGGAAAACTTGAAATGGTTCGTGGAAATTTTTGGCTGTGTACCTGTGTTATAAGTGAAAAAATAAAAATCTCCATTTAATAATTATTTTGTAAGCGAAAAAAAATATAGCTTAGAAATAAAGATTATTATGTGAGCGATATTACTTCGCTTAAAAATATCACTCAAAGTGCGATTTTAGCCGTTCTGTACGGGATTTTACAAAGTTTTAAATTTGTGCTTGTAGGTAGAACCACGCAGCACACATCGAGTTAATAAAAGAAGGTGATTTCTTTGTATAAACTTATTAAAACGCGGGTTTTAGTTTGCAAGAGGTATGCATAAATACAAAAAGTTTTATTAACCTTAGCACTTTATGTCATTTATATATTAGTAAAACGACTTAACAAGATGTTATGAACTATCCCATTTAGATCCAACCCGACATGTGGGCTGGGTGTTAGTGTGTTGGACCACCGAGCTGTAAGAACGAGTTCGATTCCCACAGAACATGTTTATTTATTAACTGGATATGTGCTCCGTAGTTCTACCTACAAGAGCACATTTAAATCTTTGTAAAATTCCGCGTAGGACGGCTGCAATCTAACTTTGAGTGATATTTCTAAGGAAAATAATATCGCTCACAAAATAATCATTATTTTTGAGCGATATTTTTTTTCGCTTACAAAATAATTATTACATAAAGATTTTTATTTTTTACTCAAAACAAATAATCGTTATTTTCGGTCGCTGGTTTGTATGCATTTTATAGACATGAACACATAGCAGTTAATTTGCTTTCCAGATTTGTTGACATGCATATACTTTATGGATAAGAGTAAGAAGAACGATATTTTTGACGTTTAAAACAAAATATTACAGTAGCCTTTTTAAACTAAAAATCCTTAATAACGATTATTTACGGTCCCTGCTTAAATAGTTCGAAACATACGAATCCCTTATGTCAACTGTATATATATTTCGAAACATTCTAAGGTGATTCGAAACATTGGCGAGGCGTTGCTTTTACAAAATTTGAAAGTTGGCCCATTTTTTGTTTCCGGTTAAAACAACATTTTCAATAAAAGCTTTTCTTTATAAGTCACGTTGGAGACTGAGACATTGGATCACGTTGTGTTAAATTTTCGAATCATTTGAATCTCACTGTGAAAATATTTCGAAACATACAATATCTTGTAAACTGTTGATTTATGCAGGACTCTATTACGATACATGTGTAAGTTCATACACCCTTGGAGTTATAGCAAAAATCTATAAAACAGCAACTTGTAGAGGGTATTATAATTTCAGTCAGATGTTTGCAACGCAGTGAAGCAGACGTTTCCGACCGCATAAAGTATATATATTCTTGATCAGCACCAATAGCCGAGTCTATCTAGCCATGTCCGTCTGTCCGTCTGTCCGTCTGTCCGTTTCTATGCGAACTAGTCTCTCAGTTTTAAAGCTATCGCGATGAAACTTTCCCGAAGGTATCCTTTCTATTGCAGGTAGTACATATGTCGGAGCCAGCCGGATCGGACCACTATATCTTAAGGCTCCCAAACAAATATAAGAAAATTCATTGTAACTTTGTAGGAAGTAGGCGTTTTGATTCTTGACTACTTAAAAACAAAATTGAAATAAATCGAAACGCTGAATCTGGAATCCCTGGAACTGCACCGAGTGAGTATTCTTTTATCTACAAGGGTATATAAGCTTCGGCTGGCCGAAGGTAGCTTCCTTTCTTGTTTTGTATGAATTAAGAGTGCAAAAATATGAATTTCAAAGCAGTACTTTATCGAAAACAAAGCAAAAAACTGCCAAAATATGGATTATCACGCCGCGTTAAGTATGTATTTCAATTCCAAATCGATTAGCGTTTAACTCTGGAAAAAAACTTGTATTCTTAAAAAAAAATGCTAAAAGTTTTTTAAAAAATTTGAGGGAATATTTTTAATTTAAGTTCGCCTTGAAATGTTACAACCGCTTCAAAATGTGATGGGATGTTTAACACAGTTAAAAAAAAAATTAATGTCTCCAATTCTTATTTTAAAAAAATGAATGCCAGAGATAGGATAATTTTAGGCCTATTTTTATTTCATCGGTCCCTTAAAACAAATCCTGTTGATATTGGCCTTGCTACCTCGTTCTACATTTTCTATTTCTATTTTCTATTCCTATTTTTTGTTTTTTAAAGATGCAATTTTTAAACTATTTATTTAAACTATTACAAACCAAATACTCTTGGCGAATTTGCTACCGTGGGGTTTTTGGAAGGTATCCACAGTAGACAACTATTATAAGGGAAACAAGGCAATTCCAAATTACTGCATTTTATCATTGATATTTTGTTTCAGTATTTTTGTTTTCACATTAATTTTTCACCTTGATTAGAATTATATTAATAATAGGGAAGGCAGGTGGGCGGGGAAGCCGTGAATCAAATTGTTTAAACATTTGAATTTGTTTAAACAATATGAGCACGTGTAATAAAGAGCAAGAGAATCAATTGGTTTGAATATTTAATGTTCTTTTAATATTATCAATGCGATTCGAATTTTAGTTCACAAAAATCGGTTACAAAATGTCTTATGTAAGTATGTTGTGGAAATGTAAATGAAATATTCTTTTAGCAAAAGGATATCAGTATTATCTTGAATTGGAATTTGAGCGAATCTCAATTCCTTAGTCAGCTGCAATGCACACACACAAACGAACACACGCATATACATATGTATCTAATGGCTGTGTGTGTAAAATACGCATTTTTTTGATATATTTATTTTGTGCGTGTGTGTGTACATAGCAGAGCAAATCATTGTTTGGTTTTGTTTTTTACAAATCCAAAGTTTGTCGATAACTCAACATTTGAAAACTAATAAATAGTTTGGTGATCGGTCTTTTGCATTTAAAAAAACAGAAGCAATTTTAAGGAAAATTTCGACTGTAAAATTCAGTTTCTGTAAGGTCTACCGATATTTTAAAATTTAACGTTTACTTAAGATTTTCAATATAATCGATTTTTTTTGGCTGTGGTATTTTCATTTTCCCCTTGCGCGGTCACACTTAAATTGCGACAGCAATACATACATGCGCCAGCAGAACATACATACAAACATATGGGGACGCGTGATGTCACATTAGGTTAGCCAAATTTGAAAATATTGGGGACTTGGTTAAGGATGCTGAATCTCCAAGAAATTTAAATGCAGTTATTTGCGGGTATGCCATAAGATTATGAACATCACATTTTTAAACCATTTTAACAACATTTATAACAAAGAAATGGCAAAAGAAAGAATTAAAAAAAAAACAAATCGAATTTTGGGGCACTTTGGGGTCGTTTTTTTTCTAAAAAGTACCCCTTACGCGGCTCCTAATTATTTTAGTAATTACTGTGATTTTTCTAGATTTTTAGGTCAATCCG